CTCTCTGGTTGTCGATTCTGAAGCCAACACACACCAACCTTTGCCGGCTATTCCCTCCAGCACGGCCGTCAAGGTGAGAGGAAGGAGGGGGTGGGGGGGGGGATAGGATAAAATGACTATGTCATGTAGACGTATTTGTTTTGTCTTCTTCATGCTCCTTCTTCCAAGCGTTTGCCACAATCTTCTAAAAATCGTCAAAAACGACTCCCTCTCCCACAAACACGGTCCCTACGACTCCTACAAAATACGACTCGAATGGTCCTGCTTGCCAGTGAAGAAAAATGGAAATAAAATGCCGAAAACCTTTTAAAGGGCATTTTAGGGGATCCTTACTTGATAGTGGATGATAGTTGCAGCCAGATTGGGTCAGACATTCTAAGAAACATTGGGCACCGAGGAGAAAATAAAAGCAGAGACGAAAGGGCGTAGAAGTTGACGGCGACGCAGATACCGTCGTGATCGATGCCGTACTAGTTTAGAGGTGGATTTATTATGAAAAAGCAACCCATTTCAAATTACGTTAAGGGTGGTGAATGAGAAACGTCCACCCGAGAATGGAACCCCTTCCTTACCGTTGATTCCCGCGTTGATGCGTCTTGCATCGTTACGCCCTCCTCAACGCTGATACTATACGATTAGATAGACCTATGGGTCTGCCAATCGAGTGTTATATGGCGAGTGATTGAGTCGGTGGGCGTACCGCACCCGTAGCGCACCCATTGTGCCGCAGGGAAGGCCATGCTAAATAGCCGGGGGACATGTCCTGGCTGCATTATTCCTAAGAGGTACGCATGTCTCTCCATGAGGTGAGTTTTACCTTCTTTCGACCTCTGTCCTTGTATGGATCGCTCCTTCAGAGCAATGTCTCAGGGCAGGGTCCCATATCTCGATTTTCGTCCTAATGGTGTGAATGATGAATCGCCCTAGCCAAACACGTCACTGAAACTCACTTGGAAGCGCAAAGCCGTAGAAGGGGGCGTTAATAACCTTGAATCGACCTAATCCTTCGCGTTCGCCCTCTTGCCTAATCTATTTGAACAATGCGTTTCGCTTCGATAGTATAATGCGATCGTTTTCCAGGACTTAACAGGGACGTATTTTGAACACAGGTTCCTTGGCAGTGCATCATGTTGCTCCTGCCTGCGCTGAAATTCCGAATGCCTCTTGACCAAACGCGCGCCGTTCTTGTCCCAGAAACTGTAACGTTTGGAAGCTATGCGTTTGTTCCTGATAATGGAAATCTGTTGCAGGTCTTCAGTAACAACGGCTTTTGACAAGCAAGTCTTGAAAATCGGTCACTTAGACATGATTTCAAGGAAAACGGAGGGACTTAGTTGTTTAACCCTTTCGGACCTGAATTTTTCCCCGTGGAGAAATTTTTCTTCTAGCTATTGTTTATTACTTGTGAGCATATAGGTATCATTATGGCGAAATTTGGAAGCTATTCGATCACAAACAAAGAAACTAAGAAGCTTTGAAAATTGGCCCACCTTCTTAGTTTTTAAGCTTATGTCGAAACAATTCGAAGTTTCATAGTTGTGCCGAAAAAGTTAATTACCTTGCATAACGTATATTAACCCATAATTTTGATATAACCCATAATTTTGATTTAGGAATGGATCATCAAGTATTTCTAGAAAGTCACAGTTACTTGCACCAGTATTAGGGGGGTAGCGCCATTCACTGTTTGACTTGTACAAATAGTTTTGCAATACTAACAGCAATAAACAATGGAATGGGTTAAGCTCATAATTAGGAAGGGGAAGGTTGACTGAAGCAACTCTCTAGCAGGATTAGAAAAACATGCTGTTTCAGCGGAAATGCAAGCGTTTGAATTTGGTGGTGGCAATTGCCACCGCCAGGGCCGAAAGGGTTAAGGATCAGCGTTTTCTTTGTTTCTTTTCGTTTGCAGTGAACCCGACATATTCAATTTTACAAAAACCCGCTTCTACTCGATCTGAAATGTTGCTTTAAAGAAGGGCCACTTTAGTTGCGCACGCATTCGCTTGCATAACAGGGACTGCAGCGGCATAACAGAGCCATCGATATTTTTATTATGCTTCCTGGTAAACTTCGTCCACGTCAGTGCACGCTCCACCTACCAATAGCAGTTGAAGCCTTTTCCTTCGCTGACCTCTTTCGACTTATTTTCTGTTCCCAGGGCTTCTTGGTGCGAGCAATGAATTTGCTGGCAAACTCCGCCCAGTTCTGTGCGCGCACGCCTCCTTAACATTAAAACTCCCCTCACTCTCAAATTTACCCAATCAATACCGTGATTACCAACCTCATTCGAGCCCTCTACGTAATACCGATGTGACTCTGCAGAGAATATTCACTTCCACGCAGCACCCAATCAGTAAAGTCATTCCCGACCCCTCCGCGCGGAAACCGATAATAAGCCCCACCCTGCCCTGCCCATGAGATCGGGCTCCGCCCACTACGTATCCACTTTCAGATAACCCGTACACGCCCAAAGGGCAATTCACGACTCATCCGGGACCGTATCCACCCTCTCGGTTCTATGCTCCTGCTTTCTTAGGTCTACATAGCGTGCATGCCTAGTAGTCAAACAGACACACTAACACACCTTACTTCCGCTCTATATAGGCGGGGACACTAACACACCTTACTTCCGCTCTATATAGGCGGGGTTCTATCATAGGATCGGGGGTCGAAGAAGGCAAAACATACCAAGTCGAAAGGCAGTCATGTCCCTCTGTGTGTGCAAGACGGTGCGCATTTCCAGGGAAATGTATGCCCCTGTAGCCTAGCGAGGCCATTTCCGCGCCGCGACACAAGCACCTTCAGTGCCTGACACTAGCCGCTATAGCAGAGAGAGCATTAGCGTTGAAGAGAGCGGCACCGGTGAGAGTCGCAACAATGCAACAATGGAAACAACGAGTTGAGCGGGCTCCCGCTTCTCGGGCTCTGCGCCGTTTCTCATGGTTTTCTCTTCATTCGTGCATGAATGACCACATCTACCTTGCGAATGCGCTGCTCATTCATCGTGAACTACGTCCTTAAGGTGTCCAGGGTTTTAGGTATTATGTAGAACCCTAGCGCCTCTATGGGTTCGCTAGCGTGTCTGCTAGAGGTATTATACCTCCGCGGTTGTGAAACCACCAACCTTGAAATGAGTGGCCCAATGAACTTAGAAACTTGCATGCCTTCCATTCTGCCACTTTTTACTTGTGAGCATCACAACTTTTATCAAATGTTCCTGCCACCATATTTTCTTTTCCTTCAGTTCCAGTTGACCACCGTGGGCGTCCATTGGAGTACTGCTCAGAACTAAGATTTCCTTCCCCCAGCTTTCATTTGTGCCCAAACAACCGGATTTGAACGGCACTGTGACCAGAGTTATGAGTGGATAATACTGGCTGAATATTGGCTTCATCGTACCTAGATATAGTACTTCAGGAAATTTGAATGGTTTCCGCGGTCGAGTACGGGGTCCCTGCATGCTTGGTCGTCCAGGTGCAGGTAACTGTAGAAGTAGGCAATTCTAAAATCTAGAATTTAGAACAGGGAAATAGCTCAGCGAAAAGGCCAGCAACCTTCGCTTCGTCAACGAGTTCTCGGCACGCAGCGTCAGCCATCACCAACGAATCCTTGCTGACTGTATTGACGAGAAATTTCGGGGGACAAAGCGGGAGTCGTACATGCTCCAAAAGCTGTAAAGTCGAATTACGAATAATCATCAAACGCTGACCAGGAGCAAAAACCTTACCTTTGGCAGTAATTTCTCCCGAGCAGGTAAGTCGAATTTCGTCCATTTGAGCGCTGCAGCGTAAACCTGCAGCAATATTAGAAAGCAGTAATCGGTGAGTGGAGGGCGGAGCAATTCTAGTGACGTTATTGAGTGTGACTGTTGAAGGGGCAAGGGGCGGTGGTGCCAACCACACACGCTGAGGGAGTAGGTCGCCTATGGCGTTCAATGACACCCTCAAAACTGCTCCACCCCCGCCATCGTGTTCATTGCCTTAGACGCCGATTTGAGAGAACGAATGTGAACATATACTATATGATCAAATATATCGAAATGATATTAACCCATTGCGTACCTCGTGACACACATGGTGCAGAACGATGACTAGCCTTGTGCGACATAGGGTGCACCACCGTTTTAAAGGAGGATTCCACGATAGGGCGAAGGTCGAAGAAGGGGAAACTTACCCAGTGGAGAGACTGGCGGACTTCCTAAAGGTAGGGGCTGCACGCAGCTCGCATCGGAGGGAATCTAGTCAATGGCCCATTCTCGCGGTGCCCGTTGGCGCACTGTAGACGTAGTACGCCCCCTATCCCCTCTCTCGCTGTCCGCTATCTAGCCGTTCAGCAGAGAGAGCGTTAGCGTTGAAGAGGGCAGCACTGATGGGATTCGCACCAATGCAGAAATCAACGGGCAGGGAAAATCTTCACGTTCTGCGATTCTATGCCCTTCTTCTTGGTTTTTTTTTCTTTTTTTTTTCTTGCATCACTGACCATTTCCAACTTAATTTCCAGCAAGCTGAATTTTCATCGTAGAATCCGCCTTTAGGGATACTTTGGCATATCCCATGCTTTGATATTGTAAAAATGTCCAGAAGGGCAAAAAAATCTCACAATTCCTCATCTATTCTCACGCGACTTGTTCAAATACAATAATATTAATGAATATGATACTTTTAACCAGAAAGTTTCCAACTCCGAACTATCAAAATCATGCTCTAATTTATTTCATAGAGCTTCCGTCCAAAGGCACAGTTTCCTTCTGAAGCTACCAGGAGGAAGAAGGGAAACTTACCTTCGAAGAAGACAGGCGGAACGCCTCTAAGGATTGCGGTCCAACCCATAATTCGTCTGCGAATGAAAATATTGGCCCGCGCCGATCTAACCGAGGAATGACGGGCGTTCGTCCTCCTGGGGCCGCCGCCGCGCCGCCGCACGCGGCGATCGACGCGGCGAAGGCTGTGGTGGTTGGATGTGGCGGTGTGATTTATTAGCTGTGGAAACAATATGGTTTTAGCCCTCTTCCACTCTTTTGGCTGTTGGAGTGAAAGTTCGTTAATTTTATCGATTCGTTACTGCCGAATGAGCAACTTAGGCGCTGTTTGAGTGACCTGTTTAATTTGACTGACCCCCTTCTCCCCAATGGCGTGAAAGAGAGTAGATCATGCAGTATGGCGATATGTTTTCACATGACGCCCATTCTACATGACGTTAATACGCAGTTTACTATGGTTCGTTCACTCAGACTGTTTCAGAAAGTTCCAATGTTCTCCGCAGCGTTTCTTAATTTCCAAACTTAATTTCTGGCGCTCATGTCCATGGGAGACATCAAAGTGGAAGAGCCTTACTGTGCTTGGGACTAGCCACCTCGTCACTTGACAATCAAATCAGACAAACAACAAGCCACCTCGTCACTTGACAATCAAATGTGAAGGCTGCAACGGTGGACAACAGCATGGACTAGTAAAAACCTCCACATCGCAGAATCGCCGCACACGCGACGAGCCCGATCGCCGCGTGCGGCGGCAGCCTGACCCCAGGAGGACAAACGCCACACCCCATCTAACATGGCCTTGACTGTGGCGTAGTTGGCGCGGAACGCCCACCGACAATCTAATCACTTGCCGCAGGCATATACGCGGCGAGTGATTACATAGAAGAGAGAGTGTAGTGTTGGCGAGGGCACAAAGATGGGAGACGCTTAACCCTTTCGGACCTGAATTTTTCCCCGTGGAGAAATTTTTCTTCTAGCTATTGTTTATTACTTGTGAGCATATAGGTATCATTATGGCGAAATTTGGAAGCTATTCGATCACAAACAAAGAAACTAAGAAGCTTTGAAAATTGGCCCACCTTCTTAGTTTTTAAGCTTATGTCGAAACAATTCGAAATTTCATAGTTATGCCGAAAAAGTTTATAATCTTGCATAACATTATAACCCATAATTTTGATTTAGGAATGGATCTACTTCAAGTATTTTAAGAAAAAGTCACACTTACTTGGCCGGTTGCGGGGGTCAGCGCCCATTCATTGTTGCACTTGTACACAAATACTTGTAATACTAACAGCAACACACAATGAAATGGCAGGTTAGCTCATAATTAGGAAGGGGAAGGTTGACTGAAGCAACCTCTAGCAGGATTAGAAAAACCATGCTGTTTCAGCGGCAATGCAAGCGTTTGAATTTGGTGGTGGCAATTGCCACCGCCAGGGCCGAAAGGGTTAAGGCGCAAAAAGGAGTCCATTTTTCGAATTCCGGGCCGCATTACTTCCTCATCAGTTTTCCTGCTTGTGAATCACTGGACCGTCATCTAATTTTAATTATGAATGGGTTGCCTTTTCATCGTATTATAGAATCCGCCTTTAAGGGTACTATGGCATATTCTATGCATAATCCTGTAAATGTATCCAGAGGAGGAAATAAAATCTCACATTTCTTCAACTTTTCATCACTGAAAATTCAGCAATTTCCAACTACAAATCTAACCTGCGTGTTTTCTCCCCGACTACGGGAATGTAAGTGGCTCTGAATATCCTCTACTTCATAATAGCTTCCATGCAAAGACAACTACGCCTTAGTGTCCGCTGTGTGAAGGCCTTGGAGCATACAAGTTCACGTAATGAGCGAATTAGCAGAAACGCCGTTCGCCTTCTCCTTCTTCTAATCTTCCCCTAGTCCTAACAAATCCCGAAGAATAGACATACATAAATTAACGCCAGCGCGTGAAACGGCACCAGAGGACGCCAAAAGCCCAAATTGCCATCTGGTTCTCATTGTAAGAAGGTGATACGACAGTCCGTCGCCCATCAAAAACTCCACTTCTATTCTATTGAGAAAATCCGACAATCGTAAACGATCTCCCTTCCGTTTTTGAAGACACCCCGAAGTTTCTTCTCTAGCAAAATTGGAATTACTGCAGGCAACGAGACCTGTCGCACCCTTGGATAAACCTGAGAACAAGTTTGAAGACAACCTACTAAACTATGCTATGAACGCCTCGTAGTGGTACCTTAGCTGTGGAACGACGACTTGAAAGTGGGAAGGAAAGCAAGGAGGAATCTTCAAGAACGCTGAAATAAGGCCTTAACCTTCAATAAGGTCGGATGTGGTACGATGGCGAGACAGGGTGATCAAAGAAGACAAAATACGCGAGAGAGCACGTCGTTTGAGAGAGCACGCTGATCTCACCATCTCTCGCGGTGGGTGGGAAGCGTTGGAACGGGGTCGATGGTTGCAGGCCCGTATAGGATTAGCGCCTTAACGCACTAAAATTATCTGCAAAAACTTGTAGTGATGCTACGGATTTCAGGGAGCTTACAAAATCCCTCGTGCATATCCCTTCTAACTAAATGTAAGTTGCTAAAATCTCCTGGGGATTCGCCTTCAAGGAAAAGGGTAAACTTGCGAATTAGCCGAAATAAAAATAAGGGAGGCGTTCCCGGAATTTTTTGCCGAGAGGGCACTACCGTGCAAATGGGCCAAGCCATCTGCCCCTCCCCTCCCCTTCTCACAAGCTGCAAAACGTCGAATGGCCTACATACCTCCTCTTCCGATTGTACCATAAGCTCCTCACTCGAAATTATTTCAACGAATAACTTGAACGAAAGCTGGATAAAAATTCTTCTGTCCCGACAATGCTCTGAAAGGAAAGGCCAAGACATTTGTTAATTTCGGGCTCTAATCGACAAAATACGGACCTGGAAGTTTTGAAAGATACACTTTTGGGCGCAGCCAAGCAGCTCTCGACAGGCATATGTATCAGCGAAGGCTCGAATTTCTAAGCAATTTGATGGATTCAGTTTCTTCTTTAGAAATTTGCAGCACGAAACCTAAAAGTAAGGCACGGCCTAATTAACGCATGATTCCAATATTTTCAAACCGACAAGCTTTATGGTGTTCCAATCTTACCTGAACTTGGCTCATTTGGAGCAGACAAGCAGCGGGCAGAATGCTCCGTACATTCACGTCGCTGATCTCGATCTTGCCAGAGTAGCAAAATTTAACAAGCGCATCGAGCGCCGTGGCCCCCACATGCGATTATTTCTCCTTTCTGATGGGAGTAAGCAGACTGCCTTTGAGAAGACAACAGAAGGAAAGTTTGCAAAAAATACCTATTACATTGTAAACGCTCTGTATCTGCGCCTAAGCTCGTCTTGAAGACACCAACCACGGTGGCTGAAAAACGATGGGGTTTTGATGCCACTGGTGGGATACAGGGGAGGAGGGGCAAAAAAGAGAATGAAACTCCAGTTTCACAACTGGAGTTTCATCCTCTTTTTTGCTCGTGGGGGATTATGCTCTCCAATACTAAGCTTAAGGATAAGAGTTTTCATGGCACGTACTCGATTCATTTGAAATACTTCTAATGAGTGACAGTTAAATGTGGAAGTACTCCTAAAGTGCTTTCTTATTTCTGCCTGCTATGGTCGAAGAAAATGGTTCACAAGTAAGGGTATGTCATCCTACCTAACGGCCTAGCGACGATAAGAAGTTAGGAGACCCAGTTGGTTGATCACATGCGCAAATCAGAATTGCCTGGGGTGTGGGGAGTGTGGTTGAGTGAGTACTGAGCATACACCGGTTTCATCCAGAGACACCTTCAATGAGTGCTGCTACTTTATCTTCTCCTAATTATCGTACCATTGTGATATGATCGCGCCAGGAAGTACTCTTCAGTATTACGTACAAGATCAAAGAGCGCCCCCACCCCAGACTGAAGTTTTCAAGAATGCACTCTTCAACTGGCGAAATTGACTCACGCGAAATTCATATTCCCACGCCCCGAGCGGCATCAGACAGCACTCCCACGTGACGATGTATTCGCACGGAATCCACTCCACTTTCCTGAAACGTTGCCGAAAGCGGGCCTGTGTAGCCACATCGGTTACGCTCTCTCTTCTAAGGAAACTGTTCACAAAACACCCGATCGAGAAATGATGTATGCACCCTTCACCGTGAAGCGTGTGCGAGGACTCTTCAAAGGGGGGTCTTTCAGGGCGAGCCGTGCTTTTTGAGAACAGTTTCTTGCATATATGTAGTAAGGGCTGCATGTGCGGACTACAAAACCATGTTTCGTTTTCGCTGAACGGTTTTAGTAGTACCAAAAAAGTGGTGAATAATACTCTTGATGGTTCAATCCCCCGCGGCGACTAAATTTTGCAATCAAGGTTGGCGGCCACTTTTGGCTTCAAAATGGTCCTGACGATGAATTTGACATCTGATTTTGATATTTAGCGCGATTTGGCACCAAACCGTAGGCGCCAACCCAAATGCAAAATTTAGTCGCCGCTACGGGGGACGCGTCCATTAACAAGTACGAAAACGCGTTCATGCGAAAACGACACTGAATCGGTTGTTCCCATGCGTCACTACAATATGCAAGAAACCGTTTTGACAAAGCGTGGCTTGCTCCTCATAAAGACCCCCTTGTTAGAGCTCGACGGCGCTGGCAGATGGTGTCATATTCTTAAAGGAATCTTGCGCGGAAAAATCATGATTCTATTTCAGCCATAAATCACTGGCTTGAGACTCATTATCCACGATAATAGTGAAAAGAACTGAAGTATTGCTTTCGTTTTGATTAGAAATTCGAAAACTCGAAAAGGCTGCTACGCGTTCGAATTGCCCACGGACGTCTTTCACGAATGCTGGCGACGGGGATGCTCAAACTTGGTTCTTGGAGTGCATTCACTAGAAGCTCTTTCTGGCCTTCTGCTTCGTTGCATTCACATCTTACACTTCTACTCCATCCTATTCCATCGATCGATTTGTCTCCACTCTCCGAAATCGCGCGCTTTAACCCGATTCTCTCATTGCGTCGCCTGGTACGTAGCCGGCCAAACGCCGTCTTCTTTCCATGCCTCGCCTGGCTCTGCCTCCTGGTCCTTCGATGGTCCATAACGTGTAGTTTTTGTACGTTTGTTTCTCTTCAGAAACCGAATCTTCATGCGTGAAACTTTGTGTGCTATTTCCAGTGATCACAACTGACATATTCATGTTAGGAAAGAGTGCAAGAATTTTCCGCGCAAGATTCCTTTAAGGCGGTTGAGGGTAGTAAAGGAGGGCTCGCATCAGCTTGGTGGGGGGGGAGGGCACCTATTAAAAGCTTGCTGGAAAATTTCATTCACAGGACGGCACCCCTGTGCGACGAAAAGTTGTGATGGGATCGCATGGCGAAAAGACCTGTTCCTTGGCCCCCGTGTCACTAAATCCAACAACCCAGTGATTGGCTGCCCCTTGCCACCTACCTCTATGCTCCGTGTTCAAACCGCACACGTCACCAGCAGCATCGTGGTCACTGCTTTAATTGCGCAGAAAATGTTACACAGGTCGCACACAAAATAGAAGACCATGAAACAGCATGTGATTCGATTTTTTTGATGTCGTCAGCAAATGTGCTACTGAGTCTGCAATTGCGACAGGCGCAACAGCCGGAAACACACTATAACATACGCAGATGCTTTTCGGCCATGTCAATCGTGAACATTGCTCGGAAATAATTCGAAGACGCCGCGAGTACATTTCGATGAGCGTTTATACGTGTGCCCTGGAATGAAATCATTTATATGAGTTATGTCGTCGAAGTCCTCGTTCGAACTATACCTTGGCGTTCAGCGTCACATCACAAAGTTGAGATTCGTCACGAAGTTCTGCGAGTTTAGTGAGCAACTCACGACTGTGAGAACGACTCTAAAATTGTACATGGTTGTTCAATAAGAACGCTATGCTTCAAAAAGGTATAAATTTTGGCGGGTCGCGCGCTTTCTTCGGTGTGACTTTGGATTTTGCTTCTTCGAAGACAGAAACAGACCCTTTAAGCAAAAATAGTAGCCTAGAGTCACCTGATACCTGCTCCTTCAGTTATGAATATGGCTTTCGTAATTATTTTCAAAAAGAAGATCAGGTATGAACGGAGACTAATACTGGCACTCAACGACACAATGGTCACATGTGACAATTGGTGTCGTTGAGTGCCAGTATTAGTCTCCGTTCATACCTGATCTTTTCTTTTTGAAAAATAAATTACGAAAGCCATATATTCATAACTGAAGGAGCAGGTATCAGGTGACTCTAGGCTACTATTTTTTGCTTAAAGGGTCTGTTTCTGTCTTCGAAGAAGCAAAATCCAAAGTCACACCGAAGAAAGCGCGCGACCCGCCAAAATTTATACCTTTTTGAAGCATAGCGTTCTTATTGAACAACCATGTACAATTTTAGAGTCGTTTTCACAGTCGTGAGTTGCTCACTAAACTCGCAGAACTTCGTGACGAATCTCAACTTTGTGATGTGACGCTGAACGCCAAGGTATAGTTCGAACGAGGACTTCGACGACATAACTCATATAAATGATTTCATTCCAGGGCACACGTATAAACGCTCATCGAAATGTACTCGCGGCGTCTTCGAATTATTTCCGAGCAATGTTCACGATTGACATGGCCGAAAGGCACCTGCGTATGTTTATAGTGTGTTTCCGGCTGTTGCGCCTGTCGCAATTGCAGACTCAGTAGCACATTTGCTGACGACATCAAAAAAATCGAATCACATGCTGTTTCATGGTCTTCTATTTTGTGCACCCTGTGTAACATTTCTGCAAAAGTTAAGACGCCAGTGCACCCCCGAGGCTGTGAGTGTGCGTCTTTTTTGAACCACTGAGCATAGAGTTTAAGGCTGTTCAAGGGGCAGCCCCAATCACTGGTGTGATTTAGTGACACGGGGCCAAGGAAAGGGTCTTTCGCCCAGGATCCACATCACCAACTTTTCGTCGCACAGGGTGCCGTCGGAATGAAATTCTTCGAGGCAAGCTTTATAGGTGGCCCTGCCCCCCATCCCCAATACGATGCGAGACCTCTTTTTAGCTAGCCCTCCACCCTTAAAGGAATCTTGCGCGGAAAATTCTTGCACTCTTTCCTAACATGAATATGTCAGTTGTGATCACTGGAAATAGCACACAAAGTTTCACGCATGAAGATTCGGTTTCTGAAGAGAAACAAACGTACAAAAACTACACGTTATGGACCATCGAAGGACCAGGAGGCAGAGCCAGGCGAGGCATGGAAAGAAGACGGCGTTTGGCCGGCTACGTACCAGGCGACGCAATGAGAGAATCGGGTTAAAGCGCGCGATTTCGGAGAGTGGAGACAAATCGATCGATGGAATAGGATGGAGTAGAAGTGTAAGATGTGAATGCAACGAAGCAGAAGGCCAGAAAGAGCTTCTAGTGAATGCACTCCAAGAACCAAGTTTGAGCATCCCCGTCGCCAGCATTCGTGAAAGACGTCCGTGGGCAATTCGAACGCGTAGCAGCCTTTTCGAGTTTTCGAATTTCTAATCAAAACGAAAGCAATACTTCAGTTCTTTTCACTATTATCGTGGATAATGAGTCTCAAGCCAGTGATTTATGGCTGAAATAGAATCATGATTTTTCCGCGCAAGATTCCTTTAAGAATATGACACCATCTGCCAGCGCCGTCGAGCTCTAACAAGGGGGTTTTATGAGGAGCAAGCCACGCTTTGTCAAAACGGTTTCTTTGCATATTGTAGTGACGCATGGGAACACGATCATTGTTCGTTTTCGCTGAACGGTTTCGTACTGTTAATGGTTCGATCCCCCGTGGCGACTAAATTTTGCATTTGGGTTGGCGCCTACGGGTTGGTGCCAAATCGCGCTAAATATCAAAATCAGATGTCAAATTCATCGTCAGGACCATTTTGAAGCCAACAAGTGGCCGCCAACCTTGATTGCAAAATTTAGTCGCCGCGGGGGATTGAACCATCAAGGTATTATTCACCACTTTTTTGGTACTACTAAAACCGTTCAGCGAAAACGAAACATGGTTTTGTAGTCCGCACATGCAGCCCTTCTACATATATGCACGGAACTGTTCTCAAAAAGCACGGCTTCCCTGAAAGACCCCCCCCCCTTGTAAGAGGCCTACGCACACGCTCCAACGTGAAGGTGCTACATCATTTCCTCGATCGGTTGTCTTGTGAACAGTTTCCTAGAGAGAGAGAAGCTGTGGCTACACAGGCCGCTTTCGGCCAACGTTTCAGGAAAGGTGATGATCCGTGCAATACACTCACGTGGAGAGTTCTTCTGATGCCGTCCGCGTAGCACACCTCACATACACTCTTCGCATCTCACTCCAGCTCTGCGAACACTCTCTGACACACTCTCATCCTTGCGCGCGCGCGCCGCGCGCCGCCCCTCCCCTTATCTGTAACGTCGTACTGAAGAGAGTACTCTTGGGCTATCTAACACAATGGATACGATAATAGGATAAGATAAAAGATAGAGCACTCATTGAAGTGTCCTCTTGATGAGAACCGGTGTATGCTCTACTCACTCACACACATCCCCACACCCCAGGCAATTTTTGGCATGTGATCATCCAACCTGGGTCTCCTACTACTTATCGTTAGCCTAGGTAAGGATGACCATACCCTACTTGTGAACCATTTTCTTCGACCATAGCAGGCAGAAATAAGAAAGCACTTTAGGAGTACTTCCACATTTAACTGTCACTCATTAGAAGTATTTCAAATGAATCGAGTACGTGCCATGAAAACTCTTATCCTTAAGCTTAGTATTGGAGAGCATAATCCCCCACGAGCAAAAAAGAGGATGAAACTCCAGTTGTGAAACTGGAGTTTCATTCTCTTTTTTGCCCCTCCTCCCCTGTAATCCAACCCAGTGGCCATCAAAACCACCATCCGTTTTCAGCCACGCGTGTTGGTGTCTTCAGACGACTTAGGCGGCAGATACAGAGCGTTACACTGTAATAGTGCCTTTGCAAACTTCGCATCTATATCTATCTCAAAGCAATCTGCTTACTCTCTCTCAGAGTAGAACTATCGATGTGAGGCCACGCGCTCGATCGACGCTTGTTAATCTTTGCTTACTCTGGCAACGATCGAGATCAGCGAACTGAAATGTCGGACATTCTGCCTGCTGCTTCCTGCCTCAATGAGGCCAAGTTGCAAGTAAGATTGCAACCCATAAAGCTTGTCGTTGAGGACTAATTTTGCTCATGTTAATTAGAAATGCCTTACTTTAGTTTCGTGCTGCAAATTTCTAAAGAAGAAACTGAATCCATCAAATTGCTTAGAAATTCGAGCCTTCGCTGATACATATGCCTGTCGAGAGCTGCTTGGCTGCGCCCAAAAGTGTATCTTTCAAAACTTCCAGGTCCGTATTTTGTCGATTAGAGCCCGAAATTAACAAATGTTTGGCCTTTCCTTTCAGAGCATTGTCGGGACAGAAGAATTTTATCAGCTTTCGTTCAAGTTATTCGTTGAAATAATTTCGAGTGAGGAGCTTATGGTACAATCGGAAGAGGAGGTATGTAGGCCATTCGACGTTTTGCAGCTTGTGAGAATGGGGAGGGCAGATGCTTGGCCCACTTTGTGCAGGTAAGTGCCCTCTCCAACATCTTCCTAACTCCGCTTTTTTATGCTAACTTCGGGCAGTACTCCTTTTCCTGAAGCGAACCCCGGGATTAAGCCCACCTTACATAGTAGGATATCCCACGAGGGAAATTTGTAAGGTCCGTGAATACGTAGATCACTCCAGCTTCGTGGCAGAAATTGCGCGGTTAGGGCGCTAATCCTTACGGGCCTGCAACCATCGACCCCCGTTGCAACGCTTCCCACCCACCGCGAGAGATGGTGAGATCAGCGTGCTCTCTCAAACGACGTGCTCTCTCGCGTATTTTGTCTTCTTTGATCACCCTGTCTCGCATCGTACCACATCCGACCTCAAGAGGTTAAAGGCCTTATCCAGCGTTCTGAAGACTTCCCTCCTGCCTCCTTAAAGCACTTTCAGGTCGTCCACAGCTAAGTACCACCTACGAGCGTTCATAGCACTAGTTAGTAAGGGGTTGCCTTAAACTTAACGTAAACTTGTTCTCAGGTTTATCCAAGGGTGCGACAGGTCTCGTTGCCTGCAGTAATTCCAATTTTGCTAGAGAAGAAACTTCGGGGTGTCTTCAAAAACGGAAGGGAGATCGTTTACGATCTCGGAATTTCTCTGGCGCCAAAATAGAATAGAAGCTGGAAGTTAGGGCGACGTCAGACTGTCGTATCAACCTTCTACAATGAGAAATCCGATGAATTTGGTGCTTTCGTCCTGGTGGGTCAGTTTCACGCGCTGGGTTAGTCTTTATTATTTATTCTTGCGGACTTCGCCTAGGAACGAATGAAGAGGAGAAGGGAACGCGTTTCTTCTAATTCGCATTAGTGAACTTTTATGCTCAAGCCTCACAAGGGAACTAATCGTAATTGTCCTTTGCATGGAAGCTATTATGAAGATAGAGGATATTCAGAGCACTACCATTCCGTAGTCGGTGGAAACACGAGGTAGAATTTTTTTATTGAATTGTGATATTCAGTGATGAAAGTTGAAGAAATGTGAGATTTTATTTCCTCCTCTGGATACATTTACAGGATTATGCATAGAATACGCCATAGTAGCCCTTAAAGCGAATTGCTATAATCACGATGAAAAGCATACCCAATTCCAAAATTAATTAGAGACGCAGTGATTCACGAAAGCAGAAAAAACTGAGGGAAATGGCCCGGAATTCGAAAAATGGGACTCCTTCTTGGCGCCTTAACCCTTTCGGCCCTGGCGGTGGCAATTGCCACCACCAAATTCAAACGCTTGCATTGCCGCTGAAACAGCATGGTTTTTCTAATCCTGCTAGAGGTTGCTTCAGTCAACCTTCCCCTTCCTAATTATGAGCTAAACCTGCCATTTCATTGTGTGTTGCTGTTAGTATTACAAGTATTTGTGTACAAGTGCAACAATGAATGGGCGCTGACCCCCGCAACCGGCCAAGTAAGTGTGACTTTTCTTAAAATACTTGAAGTAGATCCATTCCTAAATCAAAATTATGGGTTATAATGTTATGCAAGATTATAAACTTTTTCGGCATAACTATGAAATTTCGAATTGTTTCGACATAAGCTTAAAAACTAAGAAGGTGGGCCAATTTTCAAAGCTTCTTAGTTTCTTTGTTTGTGATCGAATAGCTTCCAAATTTCGCCATAATGATACCTATATGCTCACAAGTAATAAACAATAGCTAGAAGAAAAATTTCTCCACGGGGAAAAATTCAGGTCCGAAAGGGTTAATGCGTCTCCCATCTTTGTGCCCTCGCCAACACTACATCTCTCTTCTATGTAATCACTCGCCGCGTATATACAATACCTGCGCAAGTGATTCGATTGTCGCGGCGTTCCGCCCACCTAACCGACATCAAGGAATGATTAATCGGGTGCGTAGCGTTTGTCCTCCTGGGGTCAGGCTGCCGCCGCACGCGGCGATCGGGCTCGTCGCGTGTGCGGCGATTCTGCGATGTGGAGGTTTTTACTAGTCCATGCTGTTGTCCACCGTTGCAGCCTTCACATTTGATTGTCAAGTGACGAGGGGCTTTTGTCTGATTTGATTGTCAAGTGACGTGGCTTGTCCCAAGCACAGTAAGGCTCTTCCACTTTGATGTCTCCCATGGACATGAGCGCCAGAAATTAAGTTTGGAAATTAAGAAACGCTGCGGAGAACATTGGAACTTTCTGAAACAGTCTGAGTGAACGAACCATAGTAAACTGCGTATTAACGTCATGTAGAATGGGCGTCATGTGAAAACATATCGCCATACTGCATGATCTACTCTCTTTCACGCCATTGGGGAGAAGGGGGTCAGTCAAATTAAACAGGTCACTCAAACAGCGCCTAAGTTGCTCATTCGGCAGTAACGAATCGATAAAATTAACGAACTTTCACTCCAACAGCCAAAAGAGTGGAAGAGGGCTAAAACCATATTGTTTCCACAGCTAATAAATCACACCGCCACATCCAACCACCACAGCCTCGCCGCGTCGATCGCCGCGTGCGACGGCGCGGCGGCGGCCCCAGGAGGACAAACGCCCGTCTCCCTGTGAACCCGCAGGGGCATATCATTCGATACGAATTATGGGTTGGACCGCATCCTTAGAGGGTCCGCCTGTCTCTCTTCGAGGTAAGTTTCCCCTTCTTCCCTCCTGTAAGCTTCAGAGGGAAACTGTGCCCTTTGTACGGAAGGCTATGAAATAAATTTTCCAGAGCAATGATTTTTGATATGCGGGTGGAACACTTTCTGTAAAGTTCCTTAGTTCATTATATTACTTGTATTGAACATTCGAGCGTTGAGAATAGATGAGGAATTGTGAGTTTTTTTTGCCCTTCTGGACATTTTTACAATATCAAAGCATGGGATATGCCAAAGTATCCCTAAAGGCGGATTTCTACGATGAAAATTCAGCCTTGCTGGAAATTAAGTTGGAAATGGTCAGTGATGCAAGAAAAACAAAAGAAAAAAACGCAAGACAGCACGCCTAGAATCGAGAATGACAGCCTTTCCCTGCCCGTTGATTTCTGCATTGGTGCGAATCCCATCAGTGCTGCCCTCTTCCAACGCTAACGCTCTCTCTGCTGAACGGCTAGATTAGCGGACAGCGAGAGAGGGGATAGGGGGCGTACTACGTCGACAGTGCGCCAACTGCACCGCGAGGAAGGCCCATGCTAGATTACCTCCGATGCGAACTGCGTGTCGGCACCTACCTTTAGTAAGTCCGCCAGTCTCTCCACTGGGTAAGTTTCCCCTTCTTCGACCTTCGCCCTATCGTGGAATCCTCCTTTAAAACGGTGGTGCACCCTATGTCGCACAAGGCTAGTCATCGTTCTGCACCATGTGTGTCACGAGGTACGCAATGGGTTAATATCATTTCGATATATTTGATCATATAGTATAATTTCACCATTCTTCTCAAATCGGCGTCTAAGGCAATGAACACGTTGGCGGGGGTGGAGCAGTTTTGAGAGTGTCATTGAACGCCATCGGCGACCAACTCCCTCAGCGTGTGTGGTTGGCACCACCGCCCCTTGCCCCTTCACCAGTCACACTCAATAACGTCACTAGAATTGCTCCGCCCTCCACTCACCGATTACATCTGCTTTCTAATATTGCTGCAGTTTACGCTGCAGCGCTCAAATGGACGAAATTCGACTTACCTGCTCGGGAGAAATTACTGCCAAAAGTAAGGTTTTTGCTCCTGGTCAGCGTTTGATGATTATTCGTAATTCGACTTTACAGCTTTTGGAGCATGTACGACTCCCGCTTTGTCCCCCGAAATTTCTCGTCAATACAGTCAGCAAGGATTCGTTGGTGATGGCTGACGCTGCGTGCCGAGAACTCGTTGACGAAGCGAAGGTTGCTGGCCTTTTCGCTGAACTATTTCCCTGTTCTAAATTCTAGATTTTAGAATTGCCTACTTCTACAGTTACCTGCACCTGGACGACCAAGCATGCAGGGACCCCGTACTCGACCGCGGAAACCATTCAAATTTCCTGAAGTACTATATCTAGGTACGATGAAGCCAATATTCAGCCAGTATTATTCACTCATAACTCTGGTCACAGTGCCGTTCAAATCCGGTGTGTTTGGGCACAAATGAAAGCTGGGGGAAGGAAATCTTAGTTCTGAGCAGTACTCCAATGGACGCCCACGGTGGTCAACTGGAACTGAAGGAAAAGAAAATATGGTGGCAGGAACATTTGATAAAAGTTGTGATGCTCACAAGTAAAAAGTGGCAGAATGGAAGGCATGCAAGTTTCTATGTTCATTGGCCACTCATTTCAAGGTTGGTGGTTTCACAACCGCGGAGGTATAATACCTCTAGCAGACACGCTAGCGAACCCATAGAGGCGCTAGGGTTCTACATAATACCTAAAACCCTGGACACCTTAAGGACGTAGTTCACGATGAATGAGCAGCGCATTCGCAAGGTAGATGTGGTC